AATTAAACCTTGCAAAACTTTAAATTGCACAAAAATAATTTTGATAAATTTGAATCAAATATTGTCAAAATTTTTTTTAATTTTAAATGAGATACTGATCATATTCTGAAAGGAGGAAATAAGACCTCAAAAACTTTTACAGATTTCTATTTTTTTTATGACTTATACTACTTATCGTATCGGTAAAATTTAATGAATCCAAGTCAATCTCAAATTTTTGTTTTGATTGATAAAAATAATCTGTAATTGCATAAAGTACTTAGCAAACCAAACCCTCATTACACATATTTTGGTAGAAAAACACTTGTCCCTAATTTTATCCAGCATATTCAAATAATTTATACCCACAAATCGTTCAAATATCTGTCTCCGTGTCTGTAGGTATTAGTAGGTATCCATAATTAATGTTTAATTGGAAATTTTTCTCCTATATTGCTCACGGAAGTTCAAAGCTGAAAGTTTCGATTACACAAAAATGTGAAACATTTTAGTCTAGATGAATCAATCCCTCTTGACGCCTTATTGTTGGCATGATTAATCAACACTATTGTTTCTTTTGTTGCACAGGAAAATCTGGACAATGCGAAGTACGCGATATCTTTGGCACGAAAGTGCGGTGCGCGTGTCTACGCGTTACCGGAAGACATTACCGAGGTGAAGCCAAAGATGGTGATGACGGTATTTGCCTGCCTGATGGCGATGGACTACATGCCGAATATGGACTCTGTGAAAAATCAACAGAACAACGTAAATAACGGCCAATAATGTCGGCATCAATCCGTCACCGTGTTGTTCTACCTAACGCGTGCCGTTTATCTTTTGTATACAAGAACTTTTGATCGGATTGCGCACACGCTTCTTCCATGAGCGTAATATTTGTACATACCTAGATTAAGTTAATTTGTTTTTGAAGAGAATATTAGGGATTACTACTGCTAGGAAAAATTCACGAAATGAGAAGGGGAACTCCTTTGGAATCTGATGAAATATCATTTGATCCCTGTTTGTTAAACGAACGAAATACATAACAAGGAATGCTAAGATTATATTTGGTATAAGAAATTACATTATTACTATAAAGTCTAGATATTTTTTGATTAAAATGTACGAATATGTCCATATAGTCAATTAAATGTATGTGCGATATAAGATTTTCAAATTTAAAATAATTTTTAAGTAGATTATTATAAAATGGCGATAATAACTTTGATCTAAGTATTCAAGATTTACGGTATCGAATACCGATATTTCTCGTGCCAGAAAGTGTATTTACTTACAAGATAAGAAAAGTACAGATTATTATGTGTAAGTCGCTTGAATCGGCACTATTTATTCTAAACACTTTTCTACTACGTGCGACTTATCATATCTTACTGTGCAAAGTGGAATTCTCCTTCTCCATTGTTTATGCAATCATATCATTCGTTTTTACATTATACATATACCACAATATCAGATTTGTATAAATCGATTTTACATCGAGTATTCAAGTGAAACAAGTAGAAAACATGCTAGAAACCATTGAGAAATATTCAAAGCGCATACTCAAAAATTCAGAATGTACAGGGTATACCGGCATTAATTTCAACAATAGATTTTTTAGAAAAATTTTAATTTTTATTCTGTTAGCAAGAGCATCGATCATTGAACTTTAAAATGATTATTTATTGCAAAATGATAATTTTCGCGAGTTTTTTCTCTTCAAAGAAAAAAAATTAATTTTGTTGTCAAGAAATTAAAGTTTTGTACTATTCTGTATACATTTTATGTAGATAAATCTTGTTCTGCAAATACGTGCTATATACATAGAATAATTTAACACTCAAATTACATAGTACAGTCATAAATATATACTTAACACGAAATACACACATACGTATTTGATAATTTAGATGTAAGAGATTTGTGATCTATTTAAATGGTTATTTTATACACTCGGTGATTCACAGTATTCAATCAGAAGGTTATAAGTCATAACGGTCTAAAGCTTTTTGATTGACTATTTTTCTTGCACATTAATATTACATGAACGATGAATTTTATATCCAGCGTAATTTACAATGACTGTACAAATTATATACTTTATGCTTTTTTCTATATACACTAGAATATCGAGAATCACTTTTTATACATTTTGTCTGGCTTTAAACAAGAATTAATTCCTGAAATAGGAAGAAGAAGGCCTTTTGATACTTTTCTGAAATCTGCTCTCTCATTAGCGTGGCAATAGCTTCTATTGTCATTAACATATTCGATATAATGCATATGCGAAAGGTATTAGTCGACGACTGATCGTGTACTTTGTGAATGGACGACAATGAATAATAATTATGTTGACGCACAAAAGTAATTGTAATCGTGCCATTATAAGTATTGTGAAGTTTAAAACTGATTCTGATGATTTAATATTTACAATATATTTATAATCGATTCGAACCGTAACATATTTATGAATTTAAAACAATATTCATGATTGTTATCTGCGAATAAAACAGTTAAAAAATGCAAATTTCTTTCGAATATTGCGTATCTTTGCAATGTGTTATTATTACACGCAGCGTATATAGATATATATAGATTCAGAAATTAATTGTTTAAAAGAATTAGTAGAGGAAGGTCACCGATACCGACATACCACTTTGTCTTTAGACAATATTTCTTAAACAAAAAATAACAATACAACTTTAAAAACATAAATACAAAGTAAAAAAAGTGTCTTCTATCAGATAGTATAAGCAATTTTTATAACACTGTTTGCAAGTTTGCAATAATTAAGTTTTTCGTAAGTTATGCAAAAATGAGCGTCTGACAAAATGGGCTCCAAAACTGATATAGTAGGCAATAATACCAACATTCCTATTTTATAAATAAAGATATATCCTATTCTAAAGAAAACTAATTTATGAAACTATAAACATTTAAAATGACATAATATTATCAATAATATAGTCACTATTATTTTAATTACGCAATTTGCGCGCAAAAGAACACCGTAAGAATTTTCTTCTCGGATTCATAGAATTGGTTTTTAGCTGATTTGGTATAGAAATAAGCCACAAATATATGAATTATGAGTTTGTACTTCTTTAATTAGCTAAACAGATCATGATTTTACTAGTATTAATAATAAATAATAATAAATAAAGTACAATAGTTAGTTTCTGAGAAATAAGGGGGTGTCACTTTAGAAAACCTATGTCAGTATCAGCGACTTTCCTCTACTCCTTTTCTAATCAAGTGAAAGTTAAGTCGCAAGATTCGTTATTAATTAAAGTTTTTTTAGAAACAAACAATGTGAAATAAGCAGGGTTGGATAGTAACTAGTTAAAACGTTAAAAGTTAAAAAATTAATAACTTTGAACTTAACTTAGTTAATTTTAAATGCATTAATTTTTAACTTAATTTAGTTGCTTTTAAACTTTAATTTATTAACTTTTTTTAAATTAAAAATTGTTCTCTCTCTCTCAATGCTAATATTTTTTTTTCTTTTAAAGTCAAACATTAGAGAATTAATTTAGAAACAGTTCAATGATTTTTTATGATGTTTGACTTTAAAAGAAAAAAAATATTAGCATTAAGAGAGATAGAAAAATTTTTTATTTAAAAAAAAGTTAATAAATTAAAGTTTAAAAGCAACTAAATTAAATTAAAAATTGATGCATTTAAAATTAACTTTTTTTTTTAACTTAAATTAATTCAATCTTAACTTAACTTTTATTAAGTTAATACTTTATTCCTTCAACTTTTAACTTAATTTTCTTAATTTTATAAGCCATTAACTTTAACTTAATTTAGTTTAAAAAAAACATTAACTTATCCAACCCTGGAAATAAGACTGCAATATGAATACACAATAAGTAACAAAAAGACCTTATCGGTCTGAGCTGGATTGAGCTAGAAATATTAATAACTTATTTTTACATTATATTTAATTCAGCATTGAAAACATAAAAATACATTCTTATAAATACTATATATTTCCGTATAAATTTATATAGAACTAAATATGTATATAAATTCACATACCGAAATATTGTTTAGGCATTATAATATTCAGCTCAGAAATATTTTGGGACGAACTCCATTTATATTTGTATTGCGTAATTATTTGTGTGCATTAAATTTTAAAAATTACTGCAAGGGATGCATATTAGAGGTTTATTAAAAATTTAGCATGCTTCTTGCATTTACAATTATGTAGTTGACTTAGGTTACGACGAATCAACTGTTAATTATAACGGATGCTAAGTATAATTATGTTAGAAGATGTGAGAAATTATCTATAATGAATTAAGTGCAATGCATGTTATCACGATTTGCATAAATTACTTCTATTCTCCAAATTAGTTTTTTGTGGATAAATTTATTGCCTAAAAGTATTAAATTCATTAATGTCAAGGTTGCATTATCATTCCAAGAGAATACGAAGTATATGTGGATATAATTACAACGCATTCACATATAAATACGGAAAAAATTGGGTTAAAACATAAAAATGAAATTTAATGTGACTCAAATTTGAAACACGTTTATATTAGCTCTGTGTGTGATTATACGATTCAAAAATTCTCAAGGGCCATTTGCAATTGGACTAATTAGAATTAAGTATCGCAATCATTGAATAATTCTCAATTAAGATGATTATTGTATACGTATACATTTCATACATAGACACATACGCGCGTATACACACACATACGCGCGTATACACGCACATTCCATATTGTGTGTGTACGTGAACATGCGTCCATCATTCTAGTTATAATTTAATGTATGCGAAATATAAATAAAAAAATTTACTATGTGCATTTACTATTTACTAAGTTTTATTGCATTACTGTTAACTATAATAGTAATAATACATAATTAAAACTTTTAAAGAAATAATATTAAGAACATTTGATTATTATATATATATATAGATATTTATATAATAATCTTTTACTTTTTATATTGTTTTACTCTCTTATTATATAAATAATTAGAGTGTGTGTGTCCGACCGAAACTTTTACCGAAACTGGAAACGAACATTCATTACGTATCAGTTTATAGCTCTTCTTCATAAATATTAATTTTAATATGAGTAATTATTATTTCAATAATTAAATTATGATGCTTATGAAGAAGAGGTACTTATATTCTTCAGCCAAAATTGACACACAACCGATATTTCGGTTTTCGATTTCGGCCGAAATTTAATTATTATTTTAATAAATTATGATTTATTATGAAGAAAAAGTATATTATATTTATATGGACGTGTCTATACATATGGCCTTCATAGAATTCCTATTTTTTAATTTTGATTTCGGTTTCGGTTGAAATTGACATGTAGTCGAGTGTTTCGATTCAGTTTCGGCAAAAGTTTCGGTCAGATTTTTTGCATTTCTAGAGATTTTTATTATTTTCTTTTAGAGAGAATTAATTTAATTGTATTCATAACATTAACATTTTTAATAATTATTATTAATAGGAAGTAGAAATACTTCTTATGTCATGATTAGCAAGTATCTTGGTCTCGCCCGGTTTCACGATCGCGGGCGGATCTCTCGTGGCAGGCTGAATGTCTTCCAAAATTATTTTTGTAATTTCGATTATATTATACGTCTTGTGGTTTGAAATCGATATACCCTTCCTTGTTGTTGACGAACTAAAACTCGTTTCACTGATTTCCATATGACTAATCATAATATCCTAAAAAAATAACACGTACAAATGAAGAATAATTTCTGATCTTACGCTTCTTTTCGAGCACGAAGTATTAGCCAAAAATTGATACAAAATGTTAAAAATAAATTTAATTTGTTAAAAGTGTTCATAAAAAACATATCCAAACAATACAAAATCTAAAATTGTGATATAAGACGTCTTTAAGTCGTCTTTTAGACGCAAAAAACGTCTTATGATCCGATTTTAGACACTTAATTATCTGGATATAAGCAGACTATTCACAATATTGTTGTAGATAACTTACTAAATCCGCTTGCAAGCGTTGATAGACAACCGTATCACCATATTTGCGAAAGTAACTGTCTGCGTAGCAGCTGCAATGATTAAGATTCGTTTGTTTATTGATGATAAGAGTCTCTGTGGAAGTGATATGCAATCTCGGCGGCAATAGTTTTAATCGAAATCTTGTCTCGTTCGGATTTCCAACCCCAGAATGATGATACACATCGAAGGTGACGTTGCATCTGCCTATGGTGGATGCGGTTTCACCCTCAAATGTGCCATCCCCGATATTATTAAAATTGTCGCCGGGATGCAGCTGCTCGACCACCGTCTTCAAGATGTTGAGGTCATAGATTCGCGTCAGCTGGCTCGTGATGATATTCTCGATGCCTTTCTCATCAAAAAATAACTCGATAGGCGCTTCAGTGATATTTTTTCGCCGGCTCACGATATTGTCTTCCTCACCGATCATACCAAAATCAAAGCCATCGACGTATCTAAGGCTACAGCTCAGAGTATTATTTCTCCTCGGGATGCAATGCAATCGAGAGGTGATACGATAGCCGGACGGATTACCGCATGCTGGACGAGAACACTGTGGTATCCCTGTCACGTTCATGTGAACAGTGAAGATGTACTCTGGTCCATACGGCCACGCACCATCCTCGATAGGAAGTTGCACGGCTAAAGAATTAAAATTTGTATGTGGCAATTTATAGAACATTATCACTCTTATCATTAGGTCATTATTAATTATCGCGGCTTTATATTTTATTTGTAACATTTATTATCTATTTATTGAAAGACATACGCTATAAAAACATTACTTTTTAACCTTTATACACACGATTAGGTCATTCGTGTCCTACACACTTTTTATTCTAGAAACTAAAAACACTTAACTAAATGGTTCCATCTTTTCCTATTTTTTTTTAGGTATACAACTTTATAAAAATATTTTCTGAAGTATACGTAAGAATCACTTAATAACTGTTTTATACTCGTAAAAGTAATGAAAATTAATTTGAGACACATCGTATGTAACAAAGGTTCGGAAAATCATCGTGTGTATTAAAAGTTAATTTCACGAAAGAGAAGAAATATAATTTATAAAGAAACATATAAAATTTACAATGATATGTTAATTTATGAACAGTTGACTTACCTAAAAAGAATGGTATAAATATTGCAACGATCATATCACCGTATATATAAATCGTGGTTTGACGCCACTCTTAATCTTGAAAGCGCTTTTATACTGCCTTTATGTCGTTAAGGACATTCTTATTATGTAATTCATTTTAATTCACCCGACGCATCAGCGCCAATTATATTAGAAGACTTCGTGGAAATGTAATCCACTTGCTTTTGACCTTTAACAGATTTGCTACAATTGCATATTTCCTAGCACAAGACTAAAATTTTGTGCGTTACAATTAAAATTTTATGTATTACTTAAGTTCAAAGTTTCATGCTAGAGTATATCCAAAATTTGTTGCAGGAAATAGTATTATCCTCTCATGAAATGTCCGTGACGAAACTGTATAATAGTTACTTACCTTGGATAAATTATTCATTAACCTGCCTCTGAAAATATTGAAAGCTCATAGCTTTTTTCAGAAAAAATATACTCCCTAGAATTTTAAGTTAAAACGAATTAGTAGGTTAGAAGTGTGTGGTAGCGTGTGGATAAAAAGAGTTAAGGGATCAAAGATGAAAAGAAGAACTTAATTTTATACACAAGATACTGTTTATTTGATACTGTTTACAATTTGATAATCTTAATTTGATTAAATATTTAATACCAGCAAATTGTATAGCTTGCCTGCAATATATGTAACGTGACATATAGATATACAATATATTATCAGAGACAATATATAGATATATATTGTCGCTTTAATTTATAAAATTGCTTGGTATATCATTGTTAGTATTTAAATCGACCAGTTCGGGGTAGGACAGAGTCGGAAGTTCATTCGGCGCGGGTTCAATGCTGTTTAGATTAATCTGTATTATTTCTTTAAATGATAACGTCTCCATTTCGGATTCTTCAGTCGGATATCTTACTATTCCATCGAATTCAGTGAAGGTTTCGAATTTGTTTGAATTGACCTGTATTTTGCTAACAAATCTCCTCTGCAAAAAAGTACAAAGCAAAAATTTATATATGTACACACACTGTTAGAAATGTTCTTAAATTTCATTAACTTTTAATGTACATTGGTGAATGAAGTTTAATTTCTCTGTAACTGAAAGGACTATTAATGCACATGTTAATGAAATTTAAGTTTACAGTAACTGAAAAATTAAGTGTAATGAAATTT